TAGCTATGTTTATAGGTAAAAAGGAGAAGTGAAAATATAAGACGACAGATTAAAAATAAAAACGTTCTGAAAGAAAAGGTTCTGATTTAACGTTCTTACCATTGTGTTTCATATGGAGGGCCAAATTAAATAAAATAATTAAAATATGTGTAAATATTTAAATGATCGTTATGTAAGTATGTGTAAAGACAGATTTACAATTCTCGCATTTCGTTTTAAGCAAAGTTCACTTTATCGTTGAAATACAATTCAAAATTAAATATTGTAACTTTTAAAAATTGGCATACACACACAATATTTGGGGCTATAATATGTTGGTAAATGTTGCAGAGACATAGTTCAAGGACATTCAAATTACTCACAAACGCGCAACAAAATAAGGTCTTTTATTTTGAAAAATATATTTCCAGCTTCACACTTTTAAAAAATCATGACATAGCGCTTGTTGGCGTGATGTGTTGACTTCTGGAGGTTTGATAGCTTGGCTTGAGTCGCCAAATCTCCAAATGATTGATGCCATTAATTCGGTTTTATACTGTAAATAGGGAATCTAAAAGTTGCCTTTGAAGGTGAGTGTACGGTGCACAGCAGTATTTTAATGTGCCATTTAGACACATCGTATACAGTAAGTGCTTACTATATCGTTTATATAACCTAGATCTTTTATTTGATCGTCTGTTTGCACATCACTCATATATGTTAGTTCAATATATTTCATGATATAGCCACACTTTATTTTTTATATTTCTACAAATCGCTAAATAATTGTGTTCTAACTTTGCCAAGCAAGATGCCGCCACGCATTGATGACGTAATGAAACTGTGTTGTGAGCTATCCGCAAACCAACAAGTAAAAACCGCGGTAAAGCAGTCTGGAAAAGGAGCAGCGGCCGCTGGTGGTTTGGCTTTTGCAGGAGGCTTAATAGGGGGTCCATTGGGAATTGCAGTGGGCAAGTCCATTCAATGCCTTACATACAGCATACAACCTTATATATACTGTAATATGTGATGCTGGTTTCTCTTACCTGCGCTTTTGTCTTTTTAAAGGTGGGGCTGTTGGTGGACTGATTGGATGCTGGATGACGAGCGGACAGTTTAAAGCTCTACCTCAGGTTATCATGGAACTGACACCTGACCAGCAGCGCAGACTCTGTGAGGATATAGTAACCATCTTAGGCTCAATAACATGGACTGATGTTGCACAGCTGACTGCCCTTGTAATGGGAAATGCCACTCTACAGCAGCAAGTGACCGCTGCTCTTCTGAGCTATATACAAAAGGAACTTCAAGCTGAAGTGCATTATGTAGACTGACGTAATGAGAAACAACATTTCAAACCTTATAATCATGTGTCATACGGGTTGTTTGATTGGATGCTTGAGTACTGTAGTTGAAAATGGCGTACAGCATATTAGTACTGTAGTACTGTATAAAAATGTTTTTTAACTTTATAATGGTACAGTTGAATCTGTGAAATCTTATTTCCTCCACAGGATAAAAAAAGGTAATTGTGAGTGTTTTTTTTGTTTTTTTTTAAATCTTACAATTATGACTCTTTTTCTCGCAATTCAGAGTTTATATCTGACAATTCTGACTCTTTTCTTGCATTTTAGAGAAAAAAAGTCAGAATTATTCCATGGCAGAAACAAAAAACAGAATTGCGAGATGTAAACTCAGAATTCTGAGGGAAAAAACAGAGTTGTGAGATAAAAAATATTTGTGACTTAAGGCCCGTTCACACTAGGGATATGCCGGTATCAAATTTTCATGTGTCCACACCAGCGAACGATATTGTCTGTTTATTAAGCGCACATGCGTCTGCCGCTTTAAATTCTTGAGCTCGTTACAACAGGATGGATTCTGATTGGCTGTCAGTGTTTTATCGTTCATCAGCTGGAAAAAAATTGTTTTGAAAGGGATTCCAACGATATCTTTCCTCTGTATCGCTATCGTTGTGGTGTGAACTATGCTATTCTTTAATATTGAGAACGATTTTTAGAACTATATCTTTATCGTTATCTTTATAGTTATCGTGCTTGGTGTGAATGGGCCTTTAATCTCACAATTTAGATTTTTTTCTCGCAATTTTGAGAAAAAAGTCCGAATTATTTAATGATGGAAAAACCCCCCACAGAATTGTGAGAATTCTAAGGGAAAAAAGTCAGTTTTGTGATAATTATGAGAAAAAAATATATATCCTGAATTGTGATAAAGATTGTGGCTTGTGAAAATCCGAATTGAGATAAAAAGTTGCAATTTGTACCTTTTTTTTTTCCGTGCCAGAAACAAGCTTCCCTATGAATCTGACAATGTATATATTTTGCAATAATATCCTGACATAATGTGCAGCTTGTTTTCAGAACAATTAGGAAGATTAGACATTGTAGAATATATATGAATGATATTGTTGAATGCCTTTTTAAAAATATTTAATTAAACTTTTTTTTGGTGTTCTGATGGAACCGTGTTTGTTAATTTGTAACCAAGATTTGCATGCCCAGTCAAAAGCCTCAAAAACAGATGTTGGCTGCTTTAAAACATATATTTATTAATAGTTAGATTTGGCCAGACACATTACAAGCATACAGAGAAAATGTCCAGTGTTTATCCAACAATTACAGTATCCTCATCAGGAAACTCATAATAAGGCACCTCCAAGTTGAGAGGCGCGGGTCCTTTTCTGATCCTTCCTGAAGCATCATAATGTGACCCGTGGCAGGGGCAGTAGTACCCGCCGTAATCACCGGCATTTGTATATATATATATATATATATATATATATATATATATATATATATATAAAGGGATATAACCTATTTTATTGCATCTGTAAATTAATTAAATAATTTATATAAATATATTAATTAATAGTTTTATATAATATGTGAACCTGGACCACAAACCAGTCATAAGGGTCCATTTTTAAATTGAGACTTATGACTGGTTTTGTGGTCCAGGGTCACACATATAATATATAATATGTCAATAATATGACTTATTATAGGATTAATTACTGTATTAGAATGAGGTCTGGTATGCAACAATGGAACAACAACAACCAGAATAAGTAAATATATTTAAATAAAGTAATACAAAGACATCTTATTCAGACCTTTAATTTTTAGACTATTTCTGTAGCATAACAAACATTAGTCTGGAACTGATGGGTAAGTTACTGTAAAAAAGTAATTACTACTAGCTACTAATTACATCTTCAACACTGTAGTTAGATTACTGTACTAATAACTCGCTCTCTAAAAAAGTTTGCATTACTAATTACTTTCTAAATCCTATATCAGCCTCAACCAGTTGAACAATAAGGATAGACATATAACTGCTCTTTTAATTATTTCAAATAATTAAAAGATTACATCCCTACTGTGTTATTCCTATGTATGTCTGCACTATCATGTATGTCTGCACTATGTTTGTACTTTCTTCTACACTGGAAGCTCCTGTCGTCAAGTCAAATTCCTTGTGTGTGTAAACATACTTGGTAATAAAGCTCTTCTGATTCTGATTCTGATTCTGAAATAAATATTATAAAATTGAAAAAAAAAAAAAATCTTGAACTGACCAAAGAATTTTAAAGGGACAAGGTTACATTAAAACATAAAATTGAACGATGGTAGTTAGATATTAAATTCACTATTGCTTTATATTCTAACATGATTCTATAGTCTGTACATTTTTACATCAATTACATCAGATGTAACTGTAATTAAATTACACAGAATTCAGTAAAGTAATCCGTTACTTTACTTTTTCAAGGGAAAAGTGATTAAATTACAGTAATTTATTACTTAGTCATGCATTACACCCGATACTGGTCTAGAATATCAAGAGTTATGAACAGCCTGTCATGATATGTCCCGGTTATGTGGTCACCTACCGCACGCAGCAGACTTCACCAGCACTTCTGTGTTCACTGCTCCGGGAAGTAACGCTTTCAGCGGACCACAAGCCTGCAGGTAAGGGGAGAAAGCCCCCATACGAGCGGGCAGAGACATCATTTTTGTACGGTTAAAAAGGCTACTTACAGCCCGTACGGTCACACCGACCTTAGAAGAGAGAGCTTGTACTGCGGAAGCTCCTCCCTCGGTGCTTCATAGTTGGCTGGGTATTTACTGAACAGAAAGCGCAAAGTAAAACAGAGATGATAAAATAATTTCTCACACAAAGCTATTTAAATGATAAATACAATACATTATTCAATTAGCGCCTCAAGTTATTTTCAATATATTTCTTGAAATATTTAAATATTTCTGATAATTGTTATAGTTTTGAACAGGCAGTACAAGGCAGTCTCGGGAAAATGTAAACAGTAGTGACGAGACGTTCGACTCATTTCGGCGGATCGGTTCTTTTGATCCGATTCTTCTCAGCTTACTAGTCGGTTCTCGGGCTTGAGAACGAATCGTTCAAACGT